ATATGTATCTAGACTTACTATTGTACATATAGTTTTGCACCCTTCCAATAGTCGATTAACTATCACAATGTATTTCAATTGCAGATACCGGCTTAGGCCAACATGGAATGTCTTTCAAAAAGTTACAAAGTCATTTTGCTTCTTCACTAGTTTTGTCTAAAGCTATGAACTCCGATTCTATCGTTGATTAAGTTATACAAATTTGTTTTGTGAACTTCCAATACAAATAGTGCTACCAATGGTAAAAATATAACCACTAGTACAATTTGAATCCTTTGTATCGAATATCCAATTTGTATCACAATATCCTTCCAAAGCAGTTGGATATCATGTAAAATATAATTCAAAGTTTAAGTTGTTTCTTAGATACCTGAGAACCATATTCAATGCCTTTCGATAGTTACTTGGATTACTCATGAATCTACTAAATGTTTTCACGGCATATACCATATTTGATCGAGTGCAGTTCGTAATGTACATTAGTATGCCTATAGCCTGTGAATACTTTAGCTATGTCACTGGTCCACCCTTATTTTTTACTAAATGTAGACATAAATCAATAGGAGTTTTAACTAAAGTTTCCTCATGTACATTAAATTTATTAAGTACACCTTAGTGTAATGAGATTGGGAAAGAACAATTCCATCTAATGTTTTAAAGGTCTTAATCTCTTATACTACATCTGCCATACACATATTTTTTATATTGAAATGTTTCGTTAACATTTTCTTCATGTTTATGATGATATCATGAAACATTTATCACACTCGTTAATTTTAAATCCATTTGACAGCATTTTTTATCAAACTTTTGGTACCATTGCTTTGGACCTTGATTCAACCCATATAGGAGTTTGCATACCTTATTTTCTTGGTTAGAAACAATAAATCCTTCAAGTTGCTCCCTATAAATTTCTTTTTTTGAGTCACAATTCAAAAGTGTTGTTTTTATGTCCATTTGATGAATCTCAATGTTATATAATGCAGCAGTTGCAATCAATACCCTTATTGAAGTAATTCTAGTCACATGTGAGCAAGTATCATAGAAGTCAAGTCTTTCCTTTTGCCTACAACCTTTTGCAACCCAATGTAACCTTGTATTTATCAATGAATCCATTTGGTTTATTTTTTATTTTTTTTAAGATCCATTTACACCCTAAAGGCTTATTTCCAAGTGGTAGATCAACCAACTCCCAACTATGGCTTTTAATTATGAATTCTATATCACTATTGATACTTCCAGTGCGGTGCTTTTGGAGTAGACATTGCTTCACTAAATATCTAAGGTCATTTTCTACCATATAATTTAGAAACTCAAGATGAAATAAAGTCGATGTTCTAGCTATTTTACTATACCTTAGTTCTCGTCACGTAAAGTAGAAGCATTTGTAGTTTCATTAGTTTACTTCTTTGAACTTACACCTTTCTTGTCTTGGCATGGAAAGATATTTTCGAAAAATGAAGTATTTCTCGATTCAATTATGGTATCTTTATGTATGCCGAATATCAGACTTATAAATGAAAATTAGATATGCATTACTCATATTGGCCTATCTAATAAATATGCAATCAATTGTCTTAGGCCCAATTTTTGACTTGTTTCGAGTTTGGTATTTCAACTTTAGCCAAACACCCTCACACTTTCAAGTGTTTATAAGAAAGTTGATAACTTTTCTATAATTCATATGGAGTTTCATCCATTTTCTTTAAAGGTATTTTATTAAGAATATGATTTGTTGAAAGTATAGCTTCCATCCACATAGGGTATTATCTTCATCACAATCATCATTTTCTTAAAAGATTGATTTTTGCATTTAGAAACACTATTTGATTGAGGTTTGTATGGTGCCATTGAATGAATGATGCTGTTGTTTGATGAATTATGCCATGTTTTGAATAGAATTT